TGTGAGTTGAAATGTTATACATGTATGTAGATGTTTTTGTGAAGTCAATTTCTGTAATAAAAGGGATGTGTTAAAAACCCTGACTTAGCATTATTTTACGAGTGGTGCATGCGAGGTCTTTGTCTTAGACAGATAGTCTGTACCAAAATAAAAAAAAAAAAAAAAAAAAAAAAACGGCCAAAAAAAAAAAAAAAAAAAAAAAAAGACACAACAGGTGTCAGTGTTATTTAAAGCTCATCTGTCTTAAGGAATATTAAAATATTATTCACTCAGTGATGAACGCACTTTCACTTTTAAAAAAAATTGTGATATTAGACTTGGTTAAATAAATAGAATTCATAATAATTTCGCAAAACAAAAACTTTAACTTTCTTTAAGTTTTAAAATTTTTGAAAAGAAATTGACGCTTAAAGTTTTTGAAATAATATTTTTCGCTTTAAATTTTTCAGATGAATGTTTAAAATTAAATTTGTTACTTTTCATTAAAAATCCCATTTAACGCAAGAAGAGTATTGTTAGGTTGGATTTGGTTTTACACATTTTGTTTTAAAACGTAACCGTCTTTTTTGACGGGCTAAAACTAGTTTATTATTTATTATAACAAATCAATTACCGTGCTAGATCAGTGGTTCTCAACCTTTCTAATGCCACGAACCTTTAATACATTTCCTCATGTTGTGGTGACCCCCAACATTAAAATTATTTTCGTTGCTACTTTGTAATATGTGTTTTCCGCTGATCTTAGGTGACCCCTGTGTAAGGGTAGATCGACGACTAAAGGGGTTGCTACCCACAGGTTGAGAACCGATGTGTTAGATAGTCAAAATTAATTAAATCAAGTCTCACCGTTGCACTAGAGATCATACAATCAATTGGATACAGTCTTCAAAAAACAACAATGACCTATTATCATTATTTCACAATAGTGTCACCGTCGATAGACATTGATACACTTGATAAACACAATATTAGATCAAGCTTTTGACAAGAAACTAGAACTTTCTCATGCTATACTACATCACGTACATTCAATTCAAAATCTTGGTCCCACGTAAAAATAAATAGTTATTACCAATAATAATTGTAAATGTTAACGTCTTAAATAATCACAGTTAACAAGTCACATAACTGGAGTTCCTCGCCATACCCCCACCCCCTCACCAAAGGCTCATTGTATCGTTTGCACCACTCTCTTAGTCCCAGTGGTAATGAATATTAACTACGACTTCCTCGTTTTCTATTTAAATTTCTATAAGCACAATAATTTTTTTTTTGATGATAATGAACTTTGCTCGCCGGGTTGAGGGAGAAACTTAACTTAAGATTCTTAAGTCTTAATGAAAGCAGAGATGTACGTTATACAGATTTTTTTAAAAAAATGTACCATGTGTTAGCCTTAACTACAATGAGAGGTTATAAAGTGTGTGCACATCATTGATACTATCACTAACCATTTCAGGGTCAAACAGTCTACAAAATCATACTATTGCCTTGAAAATGAATACTAGGCCCATGTATGTGCTGATATGACGACTGACAACCACAAAGCTTTATTTTCAAATTCGGCCAATTCCCAAGTCGGCCTATATGTAGGATAGTAAATTAGTTATCCGGCCTTAAGTATTTTTTACTTTTATGGGATATCGTCTTTTTTTTTTTTAGGCTTTCAAATAGTTTGGAATATGAGTTCTCATAGTTGAATTTTTATTTATATAAGATCCTTGTTATCCACAGAGTTCAGAGACTTTAATGTACCAATTTTAGAACCTTCTCATTGGAAATTAACCTAATTTTAAATTATACGTTTAAAAAAAAGTCCATTCTCTTGCCTACTTCTGTAATCTGTCAATGTTTAGTGATGTATTTAAGTTTCATTTCAGAAAATTAAAGAAATTTAAAAAAAAACATCGTCTCTGACTAATATAATTTTTGCCATGGCATGTCATAGTGACTTGTTTTGAATTGAGGGTTCATCTCAGCATCTACCACTACCCTCTAAGGTTGATAACAATCTATCTTAGTAACCTCCTAATAAAAAAAGATTTCTTAAAGATAAATGTTTGTTAAGTAAAAGTTCTTTTAAAACAATTGACTGTGACGCTCGTAGCATGCTTCTGTCTAACCAATGTCACGTTTGAACATGGATTTAGATATTTCACATTTATATTACATGTATTGTTATCATTCACTCCCTTGCCAATATTCTTGGATAAAAGAAGTAGGCTGTGTGTGTAAACTGTAAACGGACAGCTTGGAAAAGCCCTTGACTATTATAAAATATATAAAACATTTTGTTTCGTAATTCTGTTTTATATGCTGTCAAAATGTAAAAGAACCAAAGTTAAATAGGGTAACTTTTTATTTTTTTTTCAAGTTAACTGGACAAATTTACAATTTAAATCAATCTTGCTGGTGGGAATAAAATTACATCATTTTAATGTGCACTGAAACTGTTACCCCCCCCCCTCCCCCCTACACTGTTATTTCGCAGTGGTTATGAAATCACGCATCAATCAATTATTTATTAATCCCCTTTGATTTGTATGATTATTTTAAAATTCCTTTATATCTCCCTTTATATAGTTTTGTTCTTAAATCGTTTATATTATTTTCAATTTTGTTCGTGGGTAGCACACTCTTCGGACGGCTAACTGACCCTAATTCCCGTCAAGCTATCGAGCTGAAACTTGGCACATAGACTTATCGCCGATAGCAACACATTACACATTTTATCAAATTTTCAGCCCCACCCCAAAGTCCGTTGTTTCCTGCCCTTTCAAGGGAAACATGAAAAAAACTTCCCTATACCTGCGCTAAATGAAATTCGTTTTTTTTTTTTTTTAAATATCACAGGCGCGTTTGGTGCGTAATATTTTCTTTTGTTTTTACTGAAATAGTTGGTGAAATGAAATCTTTGTTGTAAAAGCGGATCGGTCTTTTAAATAAAAATATAGTTAAGGGGCGTGAACAAATATGCAAGCCTTGGTGACTTGGTGGAAAAAAAAGGTGGGGGGGGGGGAGAGCACTATTTTTGCATTACTTGTATGCATGTTTTGTCAAATTTAAGCCCCACCCCCTTGCTTGATATCACATGTTTAAAAAGTATTGATAGGAAAAACCGTTGTTTTAGGGGATTGTTTCATTTCTTGTTTCATTCACTGTTGATCCTATTTTTATTTATTAAATGTTCAAAAACCAATTTGACAGTTGAGTCGGTTACTGACCCGGATAGCAAGAGATGCCGAGTATTAGCATTCTAAACCCTTACCCTGGCTCGGGCCTGGGAAAGAAAAAAAAACCACACACATAAAAAAAACCGGGTCCGTGAGATAATTAAGAGGTTATCTTCCCATTTTCTTGAATGTTTTCCACCCAGATGGGGAGAAATGAAAAGAGCATGCGATAAACCCAGTTCATATTTTTTTGTTTACATATGTGTTGAAAACATTTAATCTGAGATAAAGAAATAATACTTAAAAAAAAAAAAAAAAAAAAAAAAAAAAAAAAAAAAAAAAAAAAAAAAAAAAAAAAAAAAAAAAAAACTAACTTGCGATGGGTGTCAAACTAAAAAAAAATTAGTAACGTAACTTTAGACACATATAATTAATGAAACAATTGGCTTAGCTGAAGGACGGCTATGATATTAGACCTATTCATTGATATCAGAAAAAACAGCGACCAACAACACTGACACATAGTCTATAGCGAAGTTACGCTTTATGTTTGATTTTTAATAAATGTTTCTGGTTTAGGGTAGTGGCTCTCAACTTGTGGGCTACGACCACCCTCGGGGTTTGCCTGAGAAAAATTTCAGGAGTCGCTAGAGAATTTTAAAAATTTGACAAAGGGTGTGTGCGTGGGTTTTTTGGGTTTTTTTTTTGGGGGGGGGGGGGGTGGACGTTGTGTGTAATAATGTGCATTTTTTTCTTCGAGTTTTCATTAAATTTTAAAAATGATGTTCACAGTGATCAGACAAGTTTCTTGTTATTACCACAGTCCACACTCTGACTAACACCACAGCTACTCTCCGACTACAATACAGCTAGGCCTTCATTCTACTAATAATTTTTTTAAAAGCCTATCCTATGATTCATTCTTCACTTGTCAGCAGCTAATTTAAAATAAATATTTTGGCAGATACCTCTCATGAAAAATAAAATTAGGCCTATATATGATTTTATTTGTTGCTCTTTAGCCTAAACTTAAAAGATGGCAGCCATGATCTGTCTTGGCATTTATTTACAAAGTCCCCTCTACAGAACTCTCTAACTTTTTAGCCCTTAATTCTGCTTCCCTCCACTTTCAATCAAAATTACTTTATCAAAAACCTTATATAGGCCTACAATAAAGCTTACCTCCATCCAACCTTCTCAACTCCTGTTACACGATTTCAAAGTGTAATATTGGTTGTGGGTTGCCATAACTTGGCAAATGTTATAAAGGGGTCATGTTACTAAATAGATTGAGAATCGCTGGGTTACGATAACATAACAAGCTGTTAGTGTTTTGATGCCTTAAACTTTAATGCCTTCATGATTGCTACTACCTGTTTTTTTCACTTCTCTCCATTGGTTGGAATAATTGATAGAAAATGAGATGAACTTTGTTTCATTCTTTACAAAAATTTATTGATAATCAATATTTAAAAATGAAAGAGACATGCAACAAACAAAATAAAATTTTATTGCTTTCAAATTTAATTTTTTGGTCAAATGTATGTAAGAAGTTAAGGCTTTATAGGACTATTAAGTTTTAAAAAATATATGTAACATAAACACATTAGGGCTTAGATTAGTTTCAATGAAACAAAATAATAAAGAGGAATTTAATCTAAAAAATAAGAATATGCCAAAACTTTAAAGTAAATTAATTCCAACAAAAAAGTTCAATTTACTTGTTTTAAGGAAGTAGCATATAAGTTTAATACAAAGTTAATAACAAACATTTTGTAAAAAATATATTTGAATAATTGCAGATGTACATCTATTTACATAACTTGTTCCACTATTTATTATTCGCATCCATTTAGTGTTGTTAATTTGATAATTTTATAAAATATTTGTGTATATATGTAGCAAAAAAAAAATGAAAATAAAGAGACATTTATAATTACAATTTGTTTTCTATGTACAGAGCAGGATAAATAACCAACAATAGATGATAAGTAAATATAAGTGAATGGATTTTCTTTTGGAAGGAAAAGATCTGAAAAAGAAGAAACATTCTAAAATTATCTTTAAAAATCTATTTACCATACAATTCAACAGTTTCAATAAATAATGAACAACAAACATAAGTGAATTTTTCATTGCTATTACATTTTTAACTACTATAACTTTTATAATAAATTCTATGTCATTGTACAATGCTTTGAATCAAGCTTTTCCAAATGCTATAGCTACAAATAATTTAGTTATGGACAGCTGTCACAAATATGTTTTCTTGGGGAATTTCTGCAACCCAAATGTTGTTTTTTTAGGTGTGTTTTGCCTGTTTTCACCCCACTGAACCTGCAACAGGTCTTGAAATTTTATAAAGTATATTAGAATTAAAGACAGTACAACAAGAAACTTACTAGATATTATTTGAGGCATATCTAAATCCTTTATTGGACCTTCCTTCCTTTGGTTCAGGTAAAGCAGGTGCTGAAAGTATAAGTTTTTACAAAATAATTTGAAAATTACCTCAAATTTTAAATACTGCATTCTGGGTCAAACAAATTTAAAAAAAAAAAAAAATTCAGAGAAATTTCATCTGCAGCCTAGGTCTAACAAACTTTCAGAATTTTTTTTTTCAAATAATTTCAACTACTACGATAAAACAGATTACATAATTTGTAAATGAACGTAAATTCGTGTACCTGGGCGCCAGGCTGGACTGTTCTGCAAACCTTTGTCTCCAAAATAAAGCTGCTTGGATAAAATTGTCCTCTCATTCCTGAAGATGCAGAAACAAAGAAAGTTGCTTTCAGCATATGTTTACCATTAATTAACTATGTATTTTCCTTTTCCAGCAACTAATAAAGGCTATTTTTAAAAAGAAACTCATACTTTATATTCAGATCAGGGTAACTAGCCACCCTATTGTATTGAAGGATAATTTCAAGTTAAATTCCCTTGTTTGGTTCTGGTTAAAATCTTTATTTATTTGACATTTTTCTTGATAAGCTTACTTATGTTTATTGAAACTGGACAAAGAGTCATCTGTTTCTGTGAAGGTCATAAGGTTGCCTTTCTTTTTTGCCCAACAGTGGGTCGACACAGCAATAACAACGCAAAGAAGAATGAATAATGGAAGGCCAATGCTTAGACCAAGGATTAGACGAATTTCACCTTTAAGGATGTATAAAAAGATAATATAATTGTTTAATCAACATGCTCCTCAAGGAAACTGTAATTAATTTCATAGTCTTTACAACAGTTTACCAATGATTTTAATTAGAATTCTTAATTGAGTTCAATATTTCATATATGTTGGGGCCTATTTGTAAAATTAATCTTTTCTTCCTATGTTATAGAGTATTTTACTCACTTTCTTCTTTTGACCTGTAAAAAAATATATATATATATACATATATATTAAACAAATGACTTCTTAAATAAGCAGCTAATACTTTCAACAATTTTATTTATGTCAAAAACAACAAAATACATCCCCCCCCTTTCCCAACCCCCAATTAAATTTAAAAAAACAAACTTATCTGACCTCAACAGAAAAACTAAATACACCTTTTCATATTTCATGTTATAAGTTATAAATATAAAAATTAGGAGGCCCCAATAATTCTGTGTCAAAAACCTAAGAATGATTTTCTTCATGACTTAACTTTTTTTTTTTTACAAGTTTAAGCTTCAAATTTAAAGTTTTTACCTGCAGACTGGAAAACCTTGGTTTACCTCACACACCTCAGTTTGACTACAAGATTTCACCAGGCAGACACTGTCATTGCTATTAACTGAGGGTTTAAAATTTAAGAGAAATATCAACTGCTGGTGTTACTCATAAAACAAAGCTAATGCAATGGCTAGTACATACTGAATCAAGTAAAGGGGCAAACAACTTCTCCATCTGGATAAAGGTTTGATTTACACATAATTTTATGTCAATTGTGTATAGATGCAAGTGGCAAACACTTGAGATTTTAAAAGAAGTAACACTTGCTATTATTAATTATAAAAATTGAACAGGCCAACAATATTCTTCGTTATTTTATTTTATTTTTTGGAAGCATCTTATGTCATAAACATTTTTTTAAAATGCCAATTTTGACAAGCCAGAAATTTTATATTGAAAAAAATCATAAAAAATAGCCTTCTTTGTCACTTGTCAGCACTTGATATCTACTGCTTTTAAGAGGTGTTCGATCAATTAATTTTTATAAAGTTTTTCCTAACAAGTATATTTTAATAAAAAGCCTTTCCAATTAAGAAATTTTTATTAGAATGTCACTTTTAATAAGCATAAGTTGAGCCTACTGTAAGACAACAAACTTATTTAAAATAACTAAATATTGATTGGCCATGGTAAGTTATGTGAATATAACAAAGTTAAGCTTTTAAATACTGATGCTGTCAAGTGAGGAATGAAAAAGCACTAGTTCTTATACACAAGAAGCTGAAAATTCTATTAAATATATTGATGATAATAATCAAGCCAAAAAATTTTTCAAATTATAACAAACTAAAACTCTTACTCTGTTTTCCGGCCACTACACTCTGCAACATGCCAACATTTTGTCCATCTAGTTGTATATTATTGCTCTTGTTGGCCATTATAAGTAGCATATTTATGGCCAGATCTTCTTTATCACTTTCTGATGTCTGAGCAATGACCACTGTGTAATCAACAACAAGACTTCCACTCCTGTTGCAAATATAAAAAAAAAATGTCACAGCTATAGTAATTTATTGTAAAAAAATCAACAATGTATGTACTGGTAGAGCTGTCTTCAAGTCACTTTTTGTTGATAGTGTTTTTGAATTTTATGCATGTGGCTGAATACTTATATTAAATAAAGAATTTCTTCCATGGTGTTTGTGTCTTCCTCTCATGTGTAATGGGGTGAGCTGACATGTTTGTTTTAACTTGAACTGGTTAATACAAAAAAAATAAATAGTTTAGTGGATGGTTTACAACAGGCCTGCACAACAAAAAATGTAAGGTGGGCCATAACACTTTAGGAAAAACTTGTGTGGGCGAAAAGAAAATAGGACAGGACCAGTGCGGGCCATAAGAAAATAGGACAGGACCAGTGCGGGCCAAAAGAAAATAGGACAGGACTTGTGTGAGCCAAAAGAAAATAGGACAGTGGGAAAAGCTATTAAGAAAAATAATAAGAATAAAGAGTATTTCGTTACTTCGCATGCTGCAAAGTGGGTGCTGGTGGGCTGCATGCGGCCACGGGCCATATGTTGTGCAGGCTTGATTTATAATTTTTTTAATGGAGTGGCAGAGAAAGTAAACAGATTTATAACCATTAATATTTTTAAAAAATAGAATGAATAGCTGCAATAAATGTAAAAATGCATTTTTAGAAATTTTTTTAATAATAAAATAATAGAAAAAATGTAAAAATGCTTTAAGTTAAATATTGGTGAATTTTTTTAGGATATAATTTCCATACTATCATCTAGTGTGTAGCCCACTAGCAACACTTGCTTTTGATGTCTCAAAATCAATCAAAGGAAGTGCACTAATTAGAATTGCAGTAAGTTTTCATTGTGTAAAAGACACAAATCTTTATCTTACTTCAGACTTTGTACAATAACATCCACGACTCTTTTCAATGTTGTTTTAAGAAGGCTTAATATCTGCAGAGTAAAAAGCAGTCGTTATAAAAGATGATAAAAAATTAAAATTAAAAAAATTACTAAACAGTAAAAACTGAAACCACAGTTTTGTGGGTGTATAATACAGGAACCTGAATAACATATCCTGCAACAGATGTTATTTGGTTTTTTTAAACTTAAGATCTCAAATCTGGACACCAAACACATTAAATCATAGCTCATGAAAAGTGATTGTAAAAATACTCTGATTGCTTTATGTTCTAGATGCTGACAGGCTTTGAGGAAGTCAAATTAAAATCACCTGACCAAACACATTAAATCATAGCTCATGAAGTGATTGTAAAAATACTCTGATTGCTTTATGTTCTAGATGCTGACAGGCTTTGATGAAGTCAAATTAAAATCACCTGACCAAACACATTAAATCATAGCTCATGAAAAGTGATTGTAAAAATACTCTGATTGCTTTATGTTCTAGATGCTGACAGGCTTTAATGAAGTCAAATTAAAATCACCTGACCAAACAAAAGATTATTTAAAAAAAAAAAAAAAAATTAAAGGCCAATTATTACTAAATAAAAAATAAAATTTTGTATTAAACTTACAATGTTTTTTACATCAGTTTTAAGTTTTATGTATTTACTGCTGCTTGTGTCACTCAAATTGAAACCAGATGCATTGAAATTAAAGGTGCTAGCGACTTGGATGCTAGTAGTTTCTGAATATTGGAACAAAATATTCGTATAAAAAATTTAGTCATTGAACTCATTTATTATTAAAGAATAATTCTTGTTTTAAAAAAGCATATTTTAGACATAAGCTTTCTGTGCAATAATGTGCAGATTAATTGAATTTCTATATTTTATTCAAACTCATTTACATTACGAAATTGTGAGATCAAGCCAGAGCTCTTAATGCCCTCCCCAAAGCACCCCACTCATGTCCAAAAAGTATTTGATTGGGCCATGAAACGCCACAATAGAGATCTCTTCCTGCTGGGAAAGCCTCCACCCATATTTTCACTGGACTGGCTAGCTTCACAGGGGCCATCTCAAACACTCAGTTGGTTGATAGTGCAGCCTTTTTTAAACACTAGCAAAAGGTCTATATTTTCCCAGGGGTCGGGGATGGTGCATTTACATTCTAATATCCTCCTCAACCATCCCCATGAAGTGTCTAATGACCTCTAACAGGGAATTCTACAATGGCTTTCTACATTTAAACTCATAATAATGCTGTGGCTAATTCCTTTTTTGGATCATTATTTCTTTCTAACAAAAGTTGGCCTGTCTGACTTAAAATTGTATTATACCCTAATGCTAACTTACCATCGCAAACTTGTGAGTTGTCATTCCATGAATAACCAGAATTACAGTTGCACTGATAGGACCCAGGGGAGTTCTGACAAGTAGAGTGTATTGGACATGGTGATTGTACACACTCATCCACATCTACAGAACAACTAGAGCCAGTCCAGCCAGTCTTACATACACAAGTTCCATCTGTCTTGTTACAGTAACTTGTGGTTGCTATGATACACTGACAGCTTTGTAAACATTGGTTGCCAAAACTACCTTCTGGGCATGCTAAAAAAGTAAATTAAAAAAAAAAAACTTAATAAGAAAAAGTGGAATTATAAATGTGTCTTCAAACAGTGTACTCTATATTTATTAAAAAAGATAGATAATATTGACACATATCTAAAAAATCATTAGCCTATAGTTTAAATAAATTGTTTTAAGATTTACATTAATTATAACAGATTAAAATGCAAAATTACAATAATAAATTGGGAAAGATATAGGAAGAAAAAAATTATAGTGATCTATGAACTATGATGATAAATTGTATATATCATTACTTCTATGTCTTTTGGAGACTAATTTGCAGAACAAAATATTAGTCTAACCAACACTCTAAGAGATCAAATATAATACTTTAATAAATTCAAAGGGAAACAATATAAGCTTTATAATGCCTTAAATGTTCTTTACAAATCTTATTTACTGATCATAAATGTTCCTGTCTTTCTTCTATTTAAAGGACTCCAGGCAATAAATAAATTCAGTATCTAATCATTGATATTCTTTTCCCAATAGAAATTTCCACAAACCTTCACATTTGGCTGAATCTGTTGAATTAACTTTGTAACCAACTCTACATGAACATTGGTAGCCCCCGTCATTGTTGTTACAGATCTGTTGACATGGTAAGCTGCTACACTCATTTACATCTGAGAAATACAATCAATATATTAGATTTCAGAGTTTTCTCTTAGAAATAAAAGAACACACTAAAATTGAAATTATTTTAGAAAAAAATATTCATTGCATTTTCCATACAATTAAAATGTGAAATACTTTTCTTACCATCACAAGTTCTTGTTGTTTGATTAAAGGCATAGCCGGAGTTACAGATGCACTGATAGGATCCAGGGGAGTTCTGACAAGTAGAATGTATTTGACATGGTGATTGTAAACACTCATCCACATCTACAGAACAATTAGAACTTGTCCAGCCAGTCTTACATACACAAGTTCCATCTGTCTTGTTACAGTAACTTGTGGTTGTTGTGTTACATTGACAAGATTGTGAGCACTGTGTGCCATAATTGCCATCTGGACAGGCTGAAAATTTAAAGGAAAATTAAAATCTGTAAAAAAATAATAATTGCATATGTTCCTAGAATATCGCATTGATTATTTATAAAAACATATTTTTAAAAGTATAAATAAATACATTTTACATTTTAGATATATCTATTAAAGTTACAAAATATAATGACTTTAAATAAATAATATATTCTTCATACCTTCACATTGACTTGAATTCTTGATTTGATATCCAGGTTTACATGAACAGGTAAAGCTGCCTTCGTTGTTGTTACACAGGTGTTCACAGGGATTTCCCATTGTACACTCATTTATGTCTGGAAAGAATCAAATAATTCACAATTGAAACAATGACAATAAAATCGATTCGTTAATACAATTGTTTTGATGCAATTGTAAGAAATGAATTCTTATCAGTTATTATATGTTAAAAATGTGAATACTGCAAGGCATATAGAAATACAAGTAAATATAGAGATGTTGCTCTTACCAACACATTTACTTGCATCTGTTGTATTAACTGAGTATCCAGCTCTACATGAACACAAGTGGCTGCCATTTAGATTGGTACAATTTTGTTGACATAGTGGAGGGTCTTTAATAATACATTCATTTATATCTGGAAATAGGACAAGTCATTAAATTAGATTATATATTTATAACATGCATTTACATTTTGATCAGTTCAAAAAATATTTAGCTTATCTCATTTTATTAAAAATTAAGTAAGCACAATATTTGCTAGATGTACTTTTATTGTAAGAATAAAAAGTCCCTTTATCTCCCTTCCCCTATTTATAATGAAAATGCTAATAGCAACTGTTAAACCAATCATTATAATAAAAACTTAATACATAAATTGTCCAAATACCTTTGCTGTATAACTATTTTCTTACCATCACAAGAGCTTGTTGTTTGGTTCCTGGTGAAGCCAGTATCACACACACATTCATAGGATCCACCAAAGTTTCTACAAACAGAATGTGTTGCACATATTATCTGTGAGCCTTGACACTCATCTACATCAACAGAACAATTGGAACTTGTCCAGCCCTCCTTGCACATACAGGTTCCATCTGTCTTGTTACAGAATGTTGTAGTGATTATATTACACCTGCAAGTTTGTAGACACCTGTCTCCAAATTTTCCTTCATCACATTCTGAGGAAATTAAAGTAATACTAAATTTTTAAATAGATAGTCTTTTTTAAATAGTTTCTAAAAAGGAATTATGTTTTACAAAAATGAAAAGAATGTTATTAATCTAGGAAATATAAAAAACTCTTTATTTATATTCATTAAAATATGGTAACATTTTATGTAATTAATATAAGCTTATGTTCATAACCCATTAATTCTGGTCAAATCTGTACCTTATGTTTTTTCTATTAGTATCTTAGTAAATAATTTATGGTGTTTACAAAAATATTTCATTCCGTAATTATTAAAGCTTTATTTTTATCATTTCTTCTTCTTCTTCTATATCTTAAGGGCCCACGATCAATTTATTGATCATTTTGGCTCCTATGCATGTAGTCTTAACTCTTTTGTTAAATGTATAATACTTAACATTGCTATTAATTAACATTAAAAAAAAAGAAATTTACAGGTACCTTGACATTTGGTAGAGTCTGTTGAATTAAGTTTGTAACCAACACTACATGAACATTGGTAGCCCCCTTCATTGTTGTTACAGATCTGTTGACATGGTAAGCTGCTACACTCATTTACATCTGAGAAATACAATCAATATATTAGATTTCAGAGTTTTCTCTTAGAAATAAAAGAACACACTAAAATTGAAATTATTTTAGAAAAAAATATTCATTGCATTTTCCATACAATTAAAATGTGAAATACTTTTCTTACCATCACAAGTTCTTGTTGTTTGATTAAAGGCATAGCCGGAGTTACAGATGCACTGATAGGATCCAGGGGAGTTCTGACAAGTAGAATGTATTTGACATGGTGATTGTAAACACTCATCCACATCTACAGAACAATTAGAACTTGTCCAGCCAGTCTTACATACACAAGTTCCATCTGTCTTGTTACAGTAACTTGTGGTTGTTGTGTTACATTGACAAGATTGTGAGCACTGTGTGCCATAATTGCCATCTGGACAGGCTGAAAATTTAAAGGAAAATTAAAATCTGTAAAAAAATAATAATTGCATATGTTCCTAGAATATCGCATTGATTATTTATAAAAACATATTTTTAAAAGTATAAATAAATACATTTTACATTTTAAATATATCTATTAAAGTTACAAAATATAATGACTTTAAATAAATAATATATTCTTTATACCTTCACATTGACTTGAATTCTTGATTTGATATCCAGGTTTACATGAACAGGTAAAGCTGCCTTCGATGTTGTTACACAGGTGTTCACAGGGATTTCCCATTGTACACTCATTTATGTCTGGAAAGAATCAAATAATTCCCAATTGAAACAATTACAATAAAATATAAAGCTTAATACAATTGTTTTGATGCAATTGTAAGTATTGAAGTCTTATCAGTTATTATATGTTAAAATGTGATTACAGCAAGACATAGAAACACAAGTAAATATAGAGATGTTTCTCTTACCAACACATTTACTTGCATCTGTTGTATTAACTGAGTATCCAGCTCTACATGAACACAAGTGGCTGCCATTAAGATTGGTACAGTTTTGTTGACATAGAGGAGGGTCTTTAATAATACATTCATTTATATCTGGAAATAGGTCAAGTCATTTAAGTAGATTATATATTTCTAACATGCATTTACATTTTGATCAGTTCAAAAAGATGTTAGCTGTCATTTTATTAAAAATTAAGCAGGTACATTATTTGCTAGATGTACTTTCATTGTAAGAATAAAAATTATCTCCCCTCCTCTATTTATAACGAAAATGCTAAAGTAACTGTCAAACCAATCCTTATAATAAAAACACAATACATAAATTCTCCAAATACATTTGCTGTATAACTATTTCCTTACCATCACAAGAGCTTGTTGTTTGGTTCCTGGTAAAGCCAGTATCACACACACATTCATAGGATCCACCAAA